ACGCCGGAGGCGTGTCGCCCGCGGCGCAGGCGGCGCCGTCAAGGAGTTCCGCTACGGCGCCGGCTGGGGCCGCGGGAACGTGGGCCATCACCAGCCCCCCCACAGCGGCGCCCACCACGGCCCCGCGGGGACGCACGCACCTGGGGGGGGGGTTTAGATTTATAAACACAAGGATCGCGGGTGGAGTCAAGCAATGAAGTGACGAGCGATATCACGACGGTCTTGGGCAGAGAGTTGGTTGTTTTTTCTCTTTTTTGGGTTTTTTTTGTCTCTCTCCCCACAATGCTGGAGCTTACAAGCAACGTATCGCAGTTCGCATATTTCTGATTCCCTTTCTTTTCCCTTTGTACAATTCCCTCACCCAGGTATGATGAGCACGAGTTTCATCTACATCGTCCTCAGTCCCAATAATACGAGTGGATCTCCAACCCCATAAACTCATCAACATACGACTTCGCCACCCCATCCCCCGCAGCGCCCGCGCAGACGGCCAGCGGCATAAAGTGCTCGGCCCCGTTGGCCGGGTGGCTGACGAAGGCGTGCGGCCAGTCGCGCCAGACGTATTGCAGGAAGCGCAAGGTCAGCTCTTCCGCCTAACTTTCCCACCCAGACATTATCCCATGTGTGCACTTTAGCTACAGTTAACTAACCCGCGATTTTTTTCGGCGTGGATTAGACTCGCTGCAGTGGTTACCAGACCGCGGCAGATCGAAAATGCTTCAACTGTAAGAAGACCGGCAACCAGTGCGTCTTCCAGCCAGTTAATCCCGGCTTTACTTTTTTTGTTCCAATCCCGACCATCCAGGACGGCGTGACTACCCTGGGCACCCATCTAGTTTGCCCTTTTGGACAGCCAATGAGCAGCCACCATTTTCAAAGCAGTGCCCAGCAACCTTCCGGCAGCCGGAGTGAAATGGACACTAAAATGCTTAGCCAACTTAACGGGGGTGTTAGCTAGATGGGGGTCAATAAACTAGTGGTGCGGAAGATCGTTCATTCAAGGAATTTGCCCTGTGGGCCTCCTCGCGAAGCGGGGATATCTATCCGTGTGTTACGACCAGACAGAAAAGGCCAGGGGAGGACGGGACGTCAAGGTGGAGGGTAACAGTCAGGCTGTCAGGACCCCACCACTTAACGGAAGATGACGTGCCTCCCAGGTAATACGTGGGATCGGATTGCTAGGAACATATCAGCCATAGTACCCCAATCGAAGGTGGTATGTTGGATCGGAAGGATCACAGCATATTACACATATCGAACACAGCAGTAGAATCTCACATGCATAAGAAGAACGGGATTCCTAGTGTAGTAGATAGTTTTGACTAAGGCTTGGGCATCAGTCAACCTAGGTAATCCCCTTGAGCAAATAGCCAAACTATTGTCTCCAAGATCAGAACCCCTTGTCAAGTGTACTGTTCAACACCTTCCCTAGGCTGCCCTACCTGAGGAGCAGTGGAAGCCTGTTTGTAACAACGGGCTGTCCACGAACAAAGGGAAAACCTGGAGCTAGTCCGGGGTTAACAAGATAGCCTTGCTCAAATGGGGGCGGAACCTGAACTCCTGGAATTTGCTACGCCTGGTTGGTCAAACGCACGGACGAAAAAGTGCGGCCTCAAACGCCATCCTTTCAACCTGGCAGATTTCCTTCGAGCATATCCGGTCTGAAGGCTCATGAGCGCAAGAAGGTCGGCCGCAGAAGATTTCTTCAATCGACAGGGTATCGCTTGAGCCTGCTAGCACCGAAAGTGTCCAGCGGGACTCAGGGTCCGAATCTGGCAGCAGCAGTGACGAGGCAAATGACGGTTTAAAGACGATGTGGCCATCCTGCGAAACTTTTGTCTTGTATCTATAAATATAAAACACGCCATCTCGCCCTCGAATACGGTGGAAGCAACGATTTTTTGTTTATATCGATGCATCCTTTGTAGACAATTCGCAAGACCGCAAGAGTTTCTAGGCGTATGTTATCGCACTCTTTGGTGGAATCATTGGCTGGAGGGCTAGCAAGTAGGCCACAGTAACCACGTCAACAACTAAAGCCGAGCTGCTCGCTCTTGCAGAAGCCGCCAAGGAAGCTCTCTTTGTGAGCAGGTTGATCAAAGAGCTGGGAGTTACCCTCAACGACTGCAGCATTAAGATCAAATGCGACAATCAGCAAACAATTGGCCTTGTTAATAAAGACCTATACACGCTGCAAACCAAGCTCCGGCACGTCGACATCCACAATCATTGGCTTCGACAGGAAGTTCACTCCAAAAGACTCACTCCAAAAGAATTAACGTTACCTATACGCCAACCGACCAGATGCCTGCGGACGGCCTCACAAAGGCCCTGGCTGGCAACAAGATGACCCGCTTCAGAGATTAACTCAACCTTACGGATATCACCTAGCTACTCGGATCCTTGAAACTGCCTGAAATAACAAACGAAAAATTGGATAAAATAGAGGAGGTTCTTCCTGGGTCTGAGGTATTGGTTGAATAAACTTCAGATGGATGAGGGGGGCACCACTGTGCCCTTCCGCACCAGCCTGAAATCGACTAGAATACGGGCCAGGAAAGTCACCACTGATGGCTTCCTTGAGGGGGTGTGTTAGCCGCAAGGCATTCATGTTAGCCGCAGGGCATTCTTTCTAAAGCATCTACAGGGCTCACGTGCTATAAGGGCAGCCTGTGGGACAGAATTTCGAGACAGTGCTAAAAGTCTGACAGTACGCCTTAGATTTGAGCAGCCCAACGCTGTCATAGCCGGACTAAAGGCACGTAAGACCCAGCCATGTGCACATGATCCAAAAGGCAGCTACTGGCAATTTCAGATTCGTCTAACAGCGCAGTACTTGGTTTCGTGCTGGGGCAAGAGCCTGCGTCCAAGTCCCGAACGTTGGAACACCAAAGGTAAGAGCACGAATGCTTGTCTTTTGGCTTGTAATACCGAGCTACTGCTGTTCTGCTTTTGCCTGGCCGTCTCCGCGGAGATCCACTATCAACTCGATTTCTTAGCCGCTTCTTCCCGTCTAAAACCTCTCCCGCAGCCTCGCAGGTCCAGTATCGTAGCTCGTAGGCCAGAAGCTCTTATCGAAACACGGCGGCGGCTACACGGCGACATGGCCTTCCACCTCTTGGGTCGACAAGCAACTTGCTTTCACCATCCATTTCAACCCTAACAGTAGCCCCTCTTGCAGCCCTCGCAAAGCCTACGCTCGTGAGGCTTGCTCGTCTTTGCCGAGAGAACAGGCGCCTCCAACGGCATCCCCGCCCAGATCTTGAGCCGGCGCGCGACTCGCTCGACATAAACGGTCTCGTCCAGCTCCAAGGCGCCGAGTTGTTTGCAGGCTTTGCAGCACTGATCAAAAACTTCGGCGTGGTAATAGCCACTGTTTGGGCTGCCCTTAATATTGATAGCGACCAGACCGCTGGACCAGGGCTTGCAGCTTTTGTTACTACAGGTGGAACGGGCCACGACGCTAGTTCTATACTCGTGGGTTAGATTCGCGGTGTTCCTGTTGACCTAGGTTGGTGTTATGGCACGGCGTCGCCAGTGGTAGTTGATAGAGTTGATAGCCGATTGGCTGGAAATTAGATAAGGAAGGACTAACAGGATAAAGGTGCGGCCTTCGGCCACACCTCTCCAGCTTAACATTCACATACGTTCCGCACAAGTCGAGGGCTCAAATGCCACGTCGTAACAGTTGGATTGATTCCGGAGGCTATCACGGAGTTTACGACCGCCTGATTGAGGTTGGGGAAGTCGTAGGAGGCAACGACAACGTCACACCCGCTGCCGACACCATACATATGGAGAGATCGGTTAAGTGTCCACCGCCGACAGCAAGTCGACGTAGGAACCTGTTTAGTGTCAAAATAAGGCGTGGTATGTGCGCTGCTTGTGCACGGGCCACAAAGGTACCATATGCGTCCGATGCCTGGGGAAGCTGCCGAGTGGGATCTTTGACGTGCGCAACAGCCGTGCGTCTTGTGCCAAATCGATTGTTAGCGTTAACCCTGCCTCAATCTTGAGGGCGGGTAGAGTGGGTGGGGCCATTGGAGGGAGGCGCCGATTCTAGCGTTTTTTACCGGAAATATGTGCAAGTACTTATCACAGCGAGACTTGCCTCCACCAACTAGGCTGGGGGCGGTAGCGGTACCTATGTACATACCGGGATGGGGCGAGCGACAAGCAGAGGGAATACCTATGCCCAGCGTGGTTGGCCACCAAACGAAGTACCGACAAGGGTTTGGTGGGACCTGCAATCGCCCGAAAGACTGGACAATCGTTGGTTTCGACTGGATCCACATGCGATGTTATTTAGTGTTGGCAGGGGAGTGTGACGGCCCAAGGCAGCTCACCCGCATGCCGCAGGCATGCACGTGAGCACGCGCCGCGAAATGGCCCATGCGATAAGACGCCACCTTTTCTTCCGCGTCGCGGTTCGGCGCTTCGCGCTTCTCCTCCTCTTCCCTCCCCATATGAGAGTCTTCGTCCGTAGCATCAATTGAAACTAGCTACGAGTCCTATTCTCCGTGATCGTGACAGAGAGCAGAGATGAGCACTCAAACCGAACCTAGGGTTAAGCTTGGCGCTGCATGGCGAACCCATGTTGGCCTGTGGAGAACATGCCTAATATAACCAATCACATGCAGCTATTTTACGCCCTTCCTAGCTCGTTTTTTGCACTTCCTCATCTCCACTGCCGTTTTTTGCAATTCCTCATCTCCACTGTCGTCTTTTGCATTTTCTCCTGTCACGACCTATAGGGCCTCTTGTATCTGGCAGAAGTCCTCGATTGCAGCGATCGATTAGATAGGCGGCCCCATTGCACGTGACCCTATGTGAGGGATGTCCGCCCCTCGCGCATACGGGCCCTGCGGGCCGACCTCTCCCCAATACCATCTTTCTGCTCCCCTCAAATATCACCCCTACAGGTCCGTGATATCTCCCCTCCGCTGCCGTCTTTTGCAATTCTTCATTTCCACTGTCGTCTTTTGCACTTTCTCCTCTCTGGTGCCGATTTTGCAATTCCTCATCTCTACTGTTGTGATGGCGCGGCGTGCCTTGTTGGGCGGACGCAGCCATGTCTCGTTTGCACCAAGGTACTAAGCCCAACGTGAGGTACAAGTCGTCCGACTTGTACTTTCTCGTCCTTTTGGCCTAGTTGGATTGGGCTTAGCTAGATAATGCCAGAGCCGTAACAACTGTCGTCTTTTGCACTTTCTCTTCTCCGCTGCCGTCTTTGTGTGAGTTCCCTCCGGCGCCTGGCACGCTAAAGGGGATCTTCAGGACTTTGCACATACTACTTTGAGGCTTATATATAAGCCGCCTGCTCGATGGGGTCCCTCGAGAGGTTCTGGTTCCTTAAGTATCTTTTGAGGCCTTGAGAGATTATAGCACAATTGCCACACGGGGATCACCCTCGGGACCGAGAGAAGGCCGATTGGGCCAACAGGAGGCCAATGGAGAGGCCATGATAAGAGAGCGCCTACGGTTGGGACGCTTGGGACAGACACAAGAACCTTGCTGTAGAATGGGCTGATCTCCGCCGGCTGTAGGCTCGGCAGGACAACCCCTTACATAGATACGTACCCTGCACGGGCCACCTTGGGGCCTATATAGAGGGCGCCTTTCGAAGGGATCCCTCGAGGAGATTCTGACTCCTTAAGCAACTCCTTGAGGCCCTGAGAGATTATTATAATTCAGAAGCATTCTCTCAAGCTGACAGTTGTCTCCTTGTTACAATTAAGATCTCGTTCAAGCCGTTACTGACCCCTTGTTACAATTGATTTCCTTTGCACAGCCACTGCTCGACTCCGCTTTGTTCGAGTGGGGCGCTTCAAGCACAGACCACCATAAATTCACGCGACTCCCCACCGAGATGGATCTGGGAGCAAGTCCCTACGAGGCAAAGCCTTTCCGTCGGCACCGCTCCTCGCTCGAAGGCACGATAATCCTGCTCGCCGGAACTCCCGCCATGTTGCCAGAAGATACGAGGGCGAAGGCCGAAGTCCGTCTGTACCACATTCTCAATCAACTCGAGGAGGTG